AAAAAAAAAAAAAAAAAAAAAAAGCCCAAGCAGTGTCACAACAACAGCTGCAGCTTCGCTGCGGCGGGTCCACTTGTATTAAAAAAAAAGAAAGAAAAAAAAAAGCAAAAAAAAAGCGGCCTCCCGGGGGCTGGGCAATCGCGGGGATAACTGTGACTCCCCGGTATACCACCCCCACCAGTGTGATGCGCCGGGTTCGGCCGGGGGTCTGCCAGGCCGGTCGACTACCCGGTCCGACTGGCAGGCTCCCAGTCGGGGGAGGGGCCCACGGTCCAACCGGGGACCAGCCCTGTGTATGGCGTGTACTGGTGGTTTCAGACAGTATTATCCTTCAGACTGTTGCATCTGCACTCTCTCTCTTTGTCTTGTCTCACATTCCCCCTTTATCCTCTCCCCTCATCATTTATGGTTATCTCCCTATGTGTGTGATGCGCAAGGAGGGACCTTCCTCTATGTATGTTCCCCTCCTTGCCATTTTGAGCGATGATGACGAGTGCATGGCTTTTGAAGAACGAGAAAAATTGTTAGAATTTTAAATGTACTTTAAAGTTTAAATACAGCCATTCATTTGATAGATTTTTATCATCAATTTTCTCATCTGGTGGTATTCAAATTTTATCTTTTTGCAATGCAATTTGTTTGTCCTCGATAAAATAGAGCGAGCCAGGTTGTATACTTATTTCATAATGATTCCTGTGTGAGCTCTGAGGCATATGAGTCACATTGATTGTTTTCAGACTTCCGCTGCATCGTATTTGCTGGTCCTTGGTTGTACACCATGCCTATCTACTGACAGGAATGTGTCAGGCACATGGAACAATAGTTATAATGTTCATTTGAGAGTTTGAGAGTTAAAATAAACTGAGATTAAAAGGGCCTTTACGAATTAGACCCCAGATGAATGCCCCAACAGCAAAGGGCCCTGTCGGCCAGAACTTAAATTCACGAGCAGCAACACAAAAGACAAAGTTCCTAAGGCAAATGTTGCATCCATAATAAAATGAAAAGTCGTTTTGGACACAGTTTTCAAGACTGAGTTAGGGTCATGTCTCCTCGATGGAAAGTCATGTCTGTTCGGCAATAAGTCAAAGGCCACAGTCCCAGTGCAGTCATAATCCCACGAGTCGGTCCTGATTCAGACCAGGAGTCCAAGAGACAGGCCCGATGGCCCAAAGCAGCAGCAGACCATGGGAAAGAATACTGGGACATACACTTTGCAACAACAGGTACTGAGCAGGAGTCCCAGACACTTGAGGCTGAATGCAGGCCATGTCAGACCAGTCCAGCACTAAAAAGGACTGGCCAGCCTCCCATTTGGACAGATGCTCACTTCGCATGCCGTGGCACTTGTGCGCTAGATGTGTGTGAGCTGCGCTAGGTTGTGAGCAGCGCTAAGCATAAGACAGAGAGAAGAAGGGTGCTGGCTGGAAGGAAGGCAGCCATAACTGCGCCAGTGCTAGTTAGTATACTAGTAGGGATAGTCAGAAGGAGACACCAGTGAGTAGTATTCAGAGTAGTTCCTCGTGTGATAGGGAGTGTGCATGCATGATGAGTGTGAGTAGACCAGGACTAAAGACATAGAGGGAGAGAGAGAAGAAAGCAGATGAGAGAGGGGGAGGAGAGAGCTATGGTGACAATTACCTGTTGAGCGCTGTTGTTGATGTTTGGCAGCTGGCGCTGAAGAGCGCCAGGCTTGGAACTCATGATTGATTGAAAAGTACTTGTAACTCTGTTCGGCGCTATACACTTTTGGACTCACGGTTTCCTCTCTTAATCTGGTTATGGTAATTGAGTTGAGCTTCCTGGTCCTCRTTCATCTTCTATTGGGCTTTGTGTGAGACATCGCAATCTATGAAATCTGTATAAACGCATGTGATCTGATGCACTCCAGCAAGTGATGAACAGTCGGGTTCCTTGCAATTTGGTGTCGGGGCAGAACTTGTTACTCTCACTGGACGCGCTGGCATGATCAAGGCCGGCGAGAAGGATAAGCTGGCTTGAGTATAGCTGGCGAGAGATGAAGTAAGAAGAGAGGCGAAGTAGAGTTGGATTGGGATAGAGGGGTAAGTTTGTCGAAGAAGAAGGGGCTAAGGAGGAGAAGACTTACCTGGGATTGGAGCGATTGGAGCGAACGTGGAGTCTTCATCGACGGCCACAAAGAAGAGAAGAACCTCCTGCCCCACTTACCTCGATTGATTGCAAATCTGTGTGTTGTGTGTCCTTTCCCCTTCTTATTGGCGGTCGCTGCTGCTGTCTGGACGAAACCTGTGGCTTGGTCTGATCTGACAGATAGGACTAGAGAGTCAACCTCTGGTCTTCGAGTTAGCCATCTGGTCTGTCGAGAGGTAGGGAAGACAGGATTAAACTGGAAACTGTGTACTGCCACGTCTGAGTGTAAGTGGTTGAGAACAAAGAGAATTGTGATAAATTAGATTTGTTTTGAAGTAAGTTTGGGTATCTCCCAGCTACCTTCTTTAACGAAAGTGACCGGTCAGACCATCAAAGGCATAGATCAGCTAGTAAAAAAAATAAAAATTCTGAATAAGTTATTCTGAAGCAGCGGCATACAGATTTATAAAAAAAAAAGTTACAGATCCCATCCACTCAAGTAGACTAGGATCTGGGGTAGCTACTTGGTGGTCCGGCGGAGGTCTCCCCTGTGCTATTCTCCACCATGGATGACTATCCCATGTACGGGATGGTGGCTCTGTCTGTTCTTTTGGGGCCATTATTCCGTTTCTTCTTTCCTCTCGGCTTTGGGAGAGTGTGCACCTAACGCATGATGATGAGATCCGGAACTGCAAAACCCGGACTCTCAGCGGCAGAGCAGGCAGAAGTAGACCGCTGCTTTGCCAAGAAAAAGAAAGAAAAAGAACAGAAAAAGAAACAGAAAGAAGAAGAGTTGAGGAAGAAAACTAAAATAGAAGAAGAAAGAATTAAAAAAGAGTTGAAAGAAAAGATGAAAAAAGAATTGCAGGAAGAACTAGAGACCATAGAGGAAGATGAACCTGCTGATGACGCAGACAGACTCATCAGACGTCGAATTGAAAGGGGAAAAAGCAGTCAAACTGGAGGGTTGAATATACAGGTCATACCCTTAAATTGGTATGACCAATATGGCTATACTAGCGAAAGGAATGAAGAGGCGGAGGAAGAACGGGACACACTCATCACAAAATTGGCATCAATTGAAGATAAAGGAGAAAAGGAACTCTTGCTGGAGGAAAAACGAACAGAATTGCACAGCAAAATGTTAGTTGCAAAGCGACAAGAGCTGGAAGAGAGGAAAAGACTGCAGGTAGAGGGTGAAAGGTTGCAAAGAGAATCACAGGCGCAAAAAGAAAAACAAACAGCAACTGAAGAACAACTTGCCCTTTTGACAGAAATTGTTCTCCATACAAAGCAAGAGTTGGCAGCGATGAACAAGACCTTGTAGAAAGTTGAAGCCCATCAATATGAATTCGAGGGAGTTGGAATACCTTCCTGCAGAGATCTGCAGCAGAAGTTGATCAAAATGTGCAAGCATACATTGTAAAACTAGATGAGCAGATCAGCAAAACTTTGACCCCCGCCATGATTAAGAAATTGGTAAGTAGCGGTGGAGGAGATGGAGGAGATGGAAATGGTGGTGGAGACAGAGATAAGAAGAAGAAAGGTGTGCTGCAAGAAGACGCAGGGGAAGTCAGAAAGATAACAGTAAAAGTGTCGTGGACATATCCCGACAAAAAGGAAGAAAGTGTTTTGCATTGGATTGCGGCGGTTGAGTCCTATGTGTACGGGCAACGTATTCCGTATTGGACAGGGTTCTCATGGCCAGTTCGTGTATGGCCGGAGATACAATGAGTTTTGCAATTTCCCTGCAGAAAGAAGCTAATTGTCAGTCTATGGTAGAGTATTCCCAACAAACCCGCATTGAAGATTTCTTTAAAGTGGTCCGGAAACGATTTGAAGATAAAAACTTAGCCCGGAGAACTGAAATGTTAATCTTGAATATCGCAGATAGGAAATGGTAAAGTGTATCTGCACTTAAATCTCCCATGGACGAACTTCTGCAGTGCGCTGAGCATGGACTCACCCCAATGAAGATTCTTAACAACTTTGCTAGAACACTACCCGATCCTCTCCGCACTCAGCTATATCCCCATACCAAGGAAGAGGGGATGGCCTGTGAGAAATTCAACAAGATCGCATTAGATCATGCCGGTTTCTTGGCTGAGGCAAACTACTGCCATTATTGGAAAGATCTGCAAGCCGGCAAGAAATGGCAAAACCGTATCATCTCAGGAAGTATTCCTGGGAAAGACAACCTTCTTCTTACCTTTGAAGGAGGTGTCGAAACTTTTTCCTACGACCAGATAGACTATGGTCTGGAAGGAGATGCACACAACGGATCGGTAGTTCAGGAGGGGGACTACGCGGCCGTTGCGGGGGAGGGCAACAAGGAAGAGGTCGTGGCAGAGGAAGAGGAGGCCGTCGTCGTGGAGGAAGAGGACCCGACACCCAAAGGGGTGGTGGCGAAGGAAGCTACTACATGGGAGGAAGGGGCAATGGTCCCTCGCAAGGTGGCCAGGGACCCAACTCCACATGGGGAAGAGGAAGAGGCACGTGGAACGGGAATTGGGATCGTTTGTATCCACCCCATCCTGGCCTGCTCGAAGGCAGACCTTGGGAAAAGTTGGGAATCACAGAAAAAGTTTGGCAAGATAGAAAAGTCGCCGATCAATGCCTCAAATGTGGTGACCCCAACCACATCGTTTCCTTTTGCCCAAACTATAAACAACCAAAAGGGAAAAACCAGTAGGGGTTTCAGTTGCCTCTACAGGAACTTCGGACGCAAGCAGACTAACATCTTCCCATTCGAAGGTTCCCGTGGCAGAAACCGAAAAGATAAACGATCCCCACCTAGTCAGCTGTCCAGAGGTAGTTAGTGTATGTACCTCTCTAGGTGGATCCCTCACAGGCATGAGTGATGAGTTCGCCACTCGTCGCAAAGCCTGGGTCAAAATGAAAAAACGAAAAGGGCAGCTAATTATCGCATATCTGAGAAGTCAATAAAGTAAGAGTAGGCGGTATGATTGACAGTGGGTCAACATGCAACTATATTAGTAAGAAAGGTCTGCAAAAGTTGCGTCTCGGGCTAAAGGTAAAACAGTTGGAAGAGCCCGTAGTAAGTAAATTAGCGAATAGTAGCGAGATTGTGATAGATAGATATGTTGAGGGGATTCAGACATACTTTCGGCTCGAAGCAGAGGGGAAGGTGGAACGTGTTCTCCACTCTCTGACTCTCTTGGTGGAAGATAGTCTCCCTTTTGACATTCTCTTAGGTACAGATTGGGGGAAAGTTGCAGATGCGGGTGACGTTGAGGGACCACGAGTGTTGGCTCCCTAATCCGCAGGGTGGAAAGAAGCATATCCGCCTATTTCATGATTCTGGTAAGGAAAGCAGCTTGGCTCATTGCTGTATCAGTGCCCCCCGTTCGCCCGCCAAGTATTTGTGGCATATGTGCGCCCACTAAAGGAAGGGGAAGTTAAGGAGGAAGAAAAATCCCTAGAAGTTGAGAAAATTCTGAAAGAATTCGCAAATGTGGCAGAGGCCCCAAGCGGTGTGGTAGAATGACCAATCAAGCATCGCATTGAAATTATTCCCGGAAGTCAAATTTCAAAGGGCCCAATTTACAGAATATCACCCAAAGAATTAGATGAACTGCGAATCCAGCTCGATGAAATGTTAAAAGGGATGGATTAGGCCTAGTTCCTCACCCTATGGTGCGCCAATGTTGTTTGTACCAAAGAAGGATGGCGGGGTCCGCATGTGTATTGACTAAAGGAGATTAAATGACATAACTATTAAAAATGTTGAGCCATTACCCCGCATTGATGATTTGCTGGATAGGGTACAAGGTAGCAGGTATTTCACGAAAATTGACCTGAACTCTGGCTACCATCAGATTGAGGTAGAACCAGAAGACCGATATAAGACTGCCTTCCGTACAAGGTATAGACATTGTGTTGCCCTTTGGTCTTACTAATGCACCTGCAACTTTCCAACGAACGATGAATTAACTTTTTCGTGAATGGCTTGATAAATTCGTTGTCATATATCTAAATGGTATTTTGACTTTTAGTAAAAGTTTTAGTGAACATTGTGAGCACCTTCGACTTCTGCTAAATAAGTTGCGTGAGGCAAACCTGAAACTAAACCCGAAGAAGTGTGAGTGGGCAAAGCATCAGGTATTATATTTGGGGCATGTTATAGACGGAAATGGACTTAAACCGGAAGACGCAAAAATTGCAGCTATTCGGGATTGGCCCAGCCCGCGTACATTAACGAAACTATGGTCGTTCCTTGGGTTGGCTAATTACTACCGTAAGTTCGTAAGGCATTTTACGATAATTGTTGCTCCCCTTCGCAGATTGTTGAAAAAGGAAACTATCTGGAAGTGGGACCAAGATTGTACGTCCTCGTTTAAACGTCTAAAGAAATGTTTGATTAATTATCCGATTTTGAAAGTTGTTGATCCTTCTTCGCGCTTTGTTGTTACTACCGACGCCAGTCACTACGGGATAGGCGTTGTACTCCAGCAAGATGACGGGAATGGATACAGGCCTGTCGAATTTATGTCCCGACGACTGCCTAGTGAGAAAGTCGCCGCTTCCACGTATGAAAGAGAGTTGTACGCACTCTGGGAAGCTTTGGACCATTGGCATCATTATCTCCTAGGTCACCACTTCAAAGTGTACTCAAATCATGAAACACTTCGCTGGTTAAAGACGCAGACCCGGATGACACCTAAACTAACTAGGTGGGCTGTGGAAATCGATCAGTATGACTTTGAACTGAAGTCAATAAAGGGTAAGTATAACGTTGTTGCTGACGCATTGAGTCGAAGATCTGACTTCTTCGGTGTTATTGTAACGTATTTAGGCATAGGCACCGATATACAAGATAGGATTAGGAATGCTTATTCACATTGATCTTGTTGATGGCGCTATGCTGAAACATGTTCAAGAAGCGTCACAGGAGTTTCCTAACTATCAGGTAACCCAATGACTGTTGTTTGAAAGAACCGATGTGCATGATAGGCTTTGTATTCCAAACAAGGAAGAAATCAGAAGTGTGATTTTAGAGGAATGCCATGATACCGAAGGCCATTTCGGATGGAGAAAAACATACGCTAATCTCTTGCGTTCTTACACCTAGCCTTGAATGAAACCTGTTTGTATTGCATATGTGCAAGGCTGTCACGTGTGCCAACGGAACAAAAGCACCACACAACCTCCCCTTGGTCTATTGAAACCTTTGCCTATCCCAACGGGTCCTGGAGATTCTGTGTCGATCGATTTCATGGACACGAAAGTGAAAAGCAGGAATGGAAATAGCCAAGTTATGGTAATTGTCGATAGGTTCAGCAAGTTTGTTGTTTTTGTAGCATTGCCTGTGGAAGCTAAAACTGACTTAGTAATTCGGGAATTCTTTAACCACTGGGTAAAAGATTACGGTCATCCCTTAACTATCGTTAGTGACAGAGACTCTCGGTTTACCAATGAGCAATGGCAGCAACTAATGAATGTCTATGGCTCTAAACTAACGATGTCATCAGGCCGACATCCTGAGACAAATGGGCAAATTGAGCAAATGAACAAGCTCATGCAGCAGACGCTATGTATGTACATTCGTCCCGACCAGATTGACTGGGATGAGCATTTGCCCAAGGTTGCTAATGCTTACAACTCTGTGCACTTGACTACTCGTAAAACTCCGATGGAGTTACATTTGGGATGGAGTCCTCGCAGACCTATAGACTGCCTAAACCCGGATAGGGCACATAAACTTCCGCCAGGGACCAGAGAGTTCGCAATGCAATATCAGAAAGATTTAGAAAAGGCAAAGGAGAACATAATAAAAGCGCAACACCAAATGATTGAACAGGCCAATAAACACAGGAGACCTTCTCTGTTTGCTGTAGGTGATCTGGTTTGGGTAAAATCGAAGGAATTATCCCAGAGGAAAACATATCTCAAAAATTGTTACTGCCTATAGAGGACCATGGCAAGTATTGGATGTGATAGGCGATGTTGATGGACCCTCCTATGCTATTGAGATACGTCCACATTTGCATACCTACCCGGTGTTTCACGCGTCAAAGCTCTTACCTTGTGTAACTAATGAACTGTTTTACCTTGTGTAACTAACGAACTGTTTCCCTGTCGAAGGTCAGCAATTCCTCCAAGTATGGATGGGAAATTTGATGTTGCTAAGATCGTTGTTGAAAGTGCTCTCCAGACTGGACGCAGAGGTAGACCCCAACGGCAATATAAAGTCAGATTTGCATATCAAGATCCCAGTGAAGACCGCTGGTTTACTAGGGAAGAGCTAATTAAAACTGCACCGAACATAGTATCTTACTATGAAAGAGCAAGAAGAGGTGTCAATATTGTGGACAGGTAAGGGTTTCTCAAAGGACTTCAAAATTAGGCCGGCGAGAGTAAGAGGGCCTTTACGAATTAGACCCCAGATGAATGCCCCAACAGCAAGGGGCCCTGTCGGCCAGAACTTAAATTCACGAGCAGCAACCCAAAAGAAAAAGTTCCTAAGGCAAATGCCGGATCATAATAAAAAGAAAAGTCATTTTGGACACAGTTCTCAAGACTGAGTTAGGGTCATGTCTCCACGATGGAAAGTCATGTCTGTTCGGCAATAAGTCAAAGGCCACAGTCCCAGTCCAGTCATAATCCCATGAGTCAGTCCTGATTCAGACCAGAAGTCCAAGAGACAGGCCCGATGGCCCAAAGGAGCAGCAGACCATGGGAAAAAATACTGGGACATACACTTTGCAACAATAGGTAATGGGCAGGAGTCCCTGACACTTGAGGCTGAATGCACACCATGTCAGGCCAGTCCAACACTATAAAGGACTGGTCAGCCTCCCATTTGGACAGATGCTCACTCCGCATGAGAGTGTGGAAGTGTCATGGCACTTGTGCGCTAGATGTGTGTGAGCTGCGCTAGGCTATGAGCAGCGTTAAGGATGAGAGAGAGAGAAGAAGGGTGCTGGCTGGAAGGAAGGCAGCCATAGTTGCGCCAATGCTAGTTAGTATATTAGTAAGGATAGTCAGTAGGAGACACCTGTGAGTAGTATTAGAGTAGATCCTCGTGTGATAGGGAGTGTGCATGCATGATGAGTGTGAGTAGACCAGGACTAAAGACATAGAGGGGAAGAGAGAAGAAAGCAGATGAGAGACGGGGAGGAGAGGGCTATGGTGACAATTACCTGTTGAGCGTTGTTGTTAATATTTGGCAGCTGGCCCTGAAGAGCGCCAGGCGTGGAACTCATGATTGATTGAAGAGTACTTGTAACTCTGTTCGGCGCTATACACTTTTGGACTCACGGTTTCCTCTCTTAATCTGGTTATGACAATTGAGTTGAGCTTCCTGGTCCTCATTCATCTTCTATTGGGCTTTGTGTGAGACATGGCAATCTATGAAATTTGTATAAATGCAGGTGATCTGTTGCACTCCAGCAAGTGATGAACAGTCGAGTTCCTTGCAAGATTACCTTCTGTGACCCGCAGGTTGATACCAGCCAACGGGAAGCAACACTGTAGCGGCGACAACAACAAACAAACAACACAGAAAAAAAACCCTAAACAACAGATGTATTGTTGAAGAACATACCTCATCAGCAAGCAAGAACGTTTGATCTTCTGTTGGTCTGTCGATGGGCAAACGTCCAGTTACAATCTCAAATAACACAACTCCAAAAGCATAGATATCACCATATGTGGTGGGGTTCCCGATCTGCTTTGTATACCTGAAGAGAAACATGAAATGAACGTAAGGAGGATGTGATCATAGGACCAATCAGCCTTGTATATCTGAGAAGGAATAGTTGAAAAATGTTAAGAAACACAAACATACAACCATGCGCTGCTTTCAACTAATAAATGCTTACGCACCCAACGACCCATCCCAAAGAAGGACATTCATGCATCAAATCTCAACAAGATGTGACATCCAAAAACACACGATACTTGTAGGAGACTGGAACACTACATTGGACCAGCTAACGACAGAACCTCAGCGGCACGATCAAACAGAGAGGAAACACAACTATTAGAAGCCCAAAAGATGAAGGAACTCATGCTGGAAAGAAACCTATTAGAACCACTCAGAACCATACACCCAGAGAAAAGAAGACACACATTTAGGAAAAGGAACCGATCCCAACACATAACTAGCTATCAAAATCTCTCAGGGGAACAATACATGAAGTAGGTATAGGAAAACTTCCCTACAACAATGGTCTAGACCACAACCCAGTCTTTCTTAATCTACTATTCGATCCAGGAATACAAAAAGGTCAAAGTTTTTTCAAAATAAACAATTCCATCCTCGATACACCGACCATGCGAGAAGCAATAGCACACACCTGCATAAATGCGGACGAGGAAGGATTGGACGTTTCCAGCCTAGTAGCCAACCTATCCAAAGCGGCCTCCACAACCTCCAGGATCCTAGCAGCTAGAAGAAACCACCGCATAAAAGAACTCGAGGCAACAGTCAAAGTAGCAAAAATCAATCTTATAAGCAACCCTTGACAAGTAATCTACGAAAATCTACTTTCCAAAGCAATAATTGGAATGCATGGAAAGCAAAAGGATTGAGACTAAGGGTAAGGATCAAAGAATGGGAGGAAGGGGATAAAATAACCAAATTCTTCTTCCAGAAAGTCAAAGTCAGAGGAAGAAATGCTCTCAGTAGCAGAATCCTTTTACAAACCCCCCTATACCTCCAAGACAGAGCAACCCACACCAAACTCAATCACCTAGATAAAACAATACCCTCTACACTGGCAGACCAACTGGAAGAACCAATCACGAACAAAGAAGTAAAGGAGGCACTAGACTCCATGAAACCAGGGAAAACACCTGGTCAAGATGGACTATCCAAAGAATTTTGGCAAAAGTGCTGGGAGATATTAGGAGATGACTACTGCAACTTTGTAAGAACGGCCTGGTCAAAAGAGGGACTAGGAAAATTCTTCAGTACAAGAATAGTTACGCTACTATATAAGAAAGGTGATCCCGCGGACATTAAGAATTACAGACCCATCACCCTCCTAACAATGGCTTATAAGATCCTAGCAAAACTTCTCGCCAACAGAATAAAGAAAATCACCAAAAGATGCTTTCACATAGACCAAACAGGCTTTATACCAGGGAGATTTATCCTAGACAATGTAATGACACTTGTTGAATCAGTAAGATACGTTAAGGACAAGAAGATGAATGCAATAATCCTCTTCTTCGACTTCGAAAAGGCATACAACCAAGTGAATTGGGATTTCCTTCAACAATGCATGGAAAAGATGGGAGTTGTCCCGAACTTCAGAAAATGGGTACAAGTCCTCTACAACGACGAACATGGTGCGGTCCAAGTAAATGGGCATATCTCGAAGTCCTACAAAATGTCTAGGTCAGTGAGGCAAGGAGATCCCATGGCGGCCCCAATCTTCTTATTCATAATGGAAGCAATAGCTTCATAAGGAAAGACCCGTCGATACGAAAACTCACAAACCCCTCAGAAGACCCTAATAACTCTCACTATATACCCCCCACAATTCTCTTCACATATGACCTAATGGTTTTAATCAGAGCATTAAACTCCTCCTTTGAAGCCCTCACTCGAGCTATGCAAGCTTTCCAACTAGCCTTTGAAATGCGCATTAACTGCCAAAAAACAGTAGGATGGTGGCTAACGGACGACAACATAGATCCCCCCCGAAGCACACCCGAAGGAATGTTATGGATCGACCCCAAGGACCCCTTGAGGCTTCTAGGAATCTCGATGACAGAACAAGGAGCAGCAACAAAAATGGCCCCCAGCCTATTAGCTAAAATGACCAATAAGCTAAGTTCCTGGGGGAGAATTCACACTTCCCTTCATGGCAGAGCCTTTTTTTTTTTTTTTTTTCAAACAAATGCTCCAGTCTATTCATGGGGAGCAGCACGTGCTGGGAACCGGGCCCAACGTCCCATATCGAATTGTACAGATCATTGAGAAAATTGGAGATCATTTGAGATACCGGGGCCATTACCCGGCTTCGGCTGAGATCAGTCTATGAATATCTAATGACCTATTAAGGAACTACTCATGCAATAGGCTGCCACAGAGGTCCTACGAATGCTCACAACCCTCAGGATCCCTAATAAGCCCTTCTAAGACTTACCAACACCGTCTTACTCCCTGCTGAGCTCTTCTAGGCCGCACGCCCCCACCCTGCTGGGTTACAGGGCAACACAACTCGCCCCAGCTCCGACCAGCGTCATCCCAGCAGCAACCCTTGGTCGTCACTTGGGATGCCCACCCCAAAGCATCCCCAGATCTCTCTACCAGGCCTCACGCTCCTGCATCAGCAGGTTACAGGGCAACACCCCAGCATTGGCCAGCGTCGTTCTGGCATCGAACGGCCACGGATCACTGAGTATAACAGCATCGAAACCGCCTACGATGGATTGCTAAGAAACCCTAAAGTCCTAAGACATTCATAAGAACAACCGACTTTTTTTTTTCCAGATTCTACCAAGTCAATAGAATATGTGTGTCAAAAAGCCCTAATACCTAGGGTACCAGCCGGGCCGCCTGGGTCCCCGGTGGCCAGCCCGTGCAAGGACCAGGGAAGGCCCCAGCAAAAAAAAAAAAAAAAAAAAAAATCCAAAAAATCCCAAAAAAACTATGTTATGCAGAAAAATAAACTGAACAACTTTTGCCTCAGGGTCACATCGAAATTCTTCACCAAATTTAGAATAAAAAATAAAATTTAAAAATATTTATTTTATTTTTATTATTTTAATTTTTTTTGGCCCGGCCCGGCAAGTGACCCCGGGCCACTCTGGTAGCCTAGCCTAATACTGAATTCCTCCATTTTTGCAATGATGTGGTACGTGGCTGCATTCTGGACCCTTGATCACAACATGGTAAAAGACATCCAAAAGAAAGCAGCAGCATACCTCTGGACCAGGGATGCCTCCAAGCAGCACTTCATAACGAAAGTAGCCTAGCAATACGCCACCAGGAAAAAAAATCACGGCATACTAGGAGTCCTAGATCCTCCCACCCAAATAAAAGCACTACAAACGAAATGGATCTTAAAACTACTTACTGGACCAAGCCTCCCTTGGAGAAAGCTAGCTATGGAAGAATTACAACAACTGCCAACATACAACACTCCATCCAACATGGAAGGCTCCTTTTGGATAATGAGCAAATCCTAGTCAATGAAAGGCACCAAAGAGAATACAAGAAATGAATCAAGGACAGGATTCTGGAAAGGGATTCTCAAGGCATGGAGGGAAATCTTCCCAGCTAAAGTTAAGAGACCACAAAAAAAGGAAGAAATACTTAGGCAACCCCTCTTCTGCAACCCGTGGATAACCAACACAAAAGAGAACCCCTTGACTCTCATTGCAAAAGACACAAGATGGGGTACATGGCTGGAAAAAGGCGTATGACACATCAAACATATCTGGGACGAAGATCTAAACACCTTGAAAGAAGAAAAACAACTACGAAACCAACTCGAGGGATGCCATCATCTGAGGCAAAATCTACAAGAACTAATAGTAGCCATCCCACAAGAATGGATACCAATCCTTAGACAAGAAAGAAAATGGACCACAGGGGATTGGGCAGTAATGGCAAATGAAACACAACAAGAGCACGCATTAGCATTCTATAGTAGGGTAGAAGGCTTTGATAACTATCACCTATGTATCACACCGAACATGTTCGAAGCTTTTCCGAACATCCGAACATGTTCGGGTGTTTGGCCGAACGCCTCCCGAACGTGTTCGGCCGAACATAATTTAAGAAAAAAATAAAAACTTTTATTTTTGGTTTTTGATTTTTAACTCGAGTTTGGTTACAAATTTGAGCATACCTCCCAGACAAAAGTTGTTTGCATTATTATTTCACATAACATTTTTTTTTTTTTCAGATTTTTCCAAAAACTTTTTTGTTTTTTTTTTAATAATATTTTTATGTTCGTGTTCGGAGAGTTTTGGCTCTCGTTCGCGTTCGGTCCCGTCCCGAACGTTCGGGTTCGATCACCGAACCCGAAGCTACACAGACTGGCACACATTCACCATGCATGAAATAGAAGAACCCAGAACGGACTACAACAAAATAAAAAAAGAATCCTCAGCACAAGTCACAATAAGAGAAAACAACCTAAGAAAAAGAAGAGTAGTGGAAAATGAGGACCTAACCATCTTCCTCCCCCAAGTCCCACTAGAAAATCTAGAAGTACACCCGGCCGAATGGGCATGGAACCTCAAAACAAGCTCTGCAAGAATCAACTTAGAGATCAATATCCTACATTATACAACCAGACTTGGCCACAAACTAAGACGTCGATCTGCAAACCCAGATCCCATAATAGTGAAACGATGGAGGAAACGCCTGGAAGTAGAAACCCATAACTTTAACTCAATCCCTTGGAGCACATTAGCATGCATAAACCCACCTAAATTCCGAAGCCTACAATGGTTAATTCTATATTTAGCAGTACCATTAAATCAATGGCTTAACAGTAGAAGGAAAAAGGAAGACAGAAGCCCACTAAACGAACTTTGTACAAACTGCAACCTTGGATTTAACAGAGGACCTAAGCCCCAAAATAGAACCTATATGGCAAAAAGTATCTAATTTACGGAAGACAATCACAAATACCACTCTAACTATATACTGAGTATCTAAACCCACCATAAGTTAGTGTGATCAAGTCACGAGCCGCGAACATAAGTAGAACCT